CCCCGCATTCCATGCTCCTCCACGGTACTTTCTTCGATCATTGCACGATTCCTCGTTGAAATTTTTAAAGTGAGAAATCTGTTTTATTGTTTACTGCCAGAAATTACTCAATGAGAATACAAATTTGCATATTCTTATTATATTGAACTAGAAAAAAAAAAAAGGTCACCGTAAAACCGTAAATATTGTCAAATCAGGATAAGATGATTTTTTTTTTTTTGGAAATTTAAATAAATCTTTTCAACTGTTACTTTTTCGTTGCTAAAATTTTATTTATCGTTATTTTGTGAACATAACTCTCTCTCTCTCTCTCTCTCTCTCTCTGCCTCTACCTCTCATCACCGTTTACCCTCTTCCGTTTCTCTGTTTCTCATTTTTTAACTTCATTGCATAATTTCTCTCTCTCTCTCTTTCTCTCTCTTCTCGGATAACAATCTTATTTCAATTATTTATGAAACTCCGATGAATACTTCCAAAAATTCCCGTACCGTTATTATTGAACTTCTTGATTTAACAAAATTTTCAATAAATCCATCCGTTACTCTTTTATTGATAATATTCAATTCTTCTCTTCTCATATTGCTTTTTCCGCTTTTCCATCTGCAATATTCTCTCAGAGAATCAATCAAAAAGACATTTGTCTCTCAGAGAATCAATCAAATAAACATGAACTGAGACATATGCGCCCCGTAAAGAACAAAGACGCATGCATATTTTACGCTAAATCGTTCATTTAGCTCTTTTAAATTTCTTCTTATTTTTTACTTTTATTATCGATTTCAGATTTAATTATTTCATTTTTATCCATCTATTCTATCAGCTTCCTATAAATTATTGTTGCCAACCTTACTTTTTGTTTTGTACGATTCTGTCATTTAGCTTATTGATGTCATTAATTAGCAATATCGAATATTATTGTGACATATTCAGCATGGGGATAAATGGATGCAATAATAAGCCAGTACGTTTAAGCAATATATAAGCCATAAAGAATGTAGGCTTTCATCTAAAAGCATCTTTATATTTATGCTTTTGATTTTTAAAATGTCTCAAATGAAATGTAAGCACGACGACATCGATTTGTTTATTAGGGAAAAATTAATTTAATAAATTCGAAATTATTCCGTTTTGCGTCCATTTCATTTGAAATAATTTTAGCTGCGTTTGCAAATTTTAACTGGAATTTACTTTTTTTAAGTGTTCTTTTTTTTAATGAGTGATTGGAATATGAAATATTTTTTTTAAAATGTTCACTGACAGACGAATACTGAGAGTTTTCAGAATAATAATGATCAAATTGATATTAAGAACGAATTTTCATGTAGGTTGCAAATTAAAATACCAAATTTTCAATTCTCAAAATTTTTTAACCTTAATAAAATATACTGCTTGATAAATGCGCAATTGTGCAAATGAACAGGAAAGAAAACAAAACTATGGAATGATAATTGCAGCTGGAAAATATACATTACTAAATTTCTTCTTCAAAAATATTTTTGATAAATGAAGAAAATTCGACGTGTTTTACGTAATTTACATGAAAAAATGAAATCATAAAAAGTATCATTTTCAAAAAAAAAAAGAAAAACTTCGCGAAATTTTGAATTAAAAAAAAAAAACTTAGATTTTTTCTAAAACACATCGCAAAACACCAATAAATAGCTAAATTCAATATTCAAATCTTATGATTAAAAATTCAACGAAACAAAGTATCTGAGTGCATTTACACGTAGTTTACAGCTAACTCTAAACTACTCCTCTTGTTTAAAGTTCATACTTTCAATGAGCTTTAAAAAAATCTTGAATTATTTAAAATTCAAAATTTTTTCTTAAATTTTTTTTCTAATTTAAATTGATGAAATCATATATCGTTACAGGTAACGAAAAACGACTCAATGGATCTCATTTGTTACAGATTGAAGAGAAATCGGATCAAATGCTTGGTGCTACCGTTCGAGTATCCAAGAAAGGCGATTCTGTTGTGGTCAGTGTAATTTTGTGCACACTTTTTTCATGTTAATTTTTTTTTTTTTGGTTAATATTTTATTTTTACTTTTCTGAATAACCGTTTGGTAATTATAATTAAATTGATATTTGAGCGTAATGCTTATCTATCTCAAAAACTATTAACTGATAATAAAACAATCAATTGATAACCTTTTGATTTGATAGGTTTGTGCTCCTCATTACAAATATTTCTTCTCGAGATTTGAAGTTGTTGAACCGGTTGGAACATGTTTTTATGCAACAAATGGTTTTGAAAATATCGAAGAATTTGCTTCATGTCGACAAGAACGTACGCTTTTTTGTAATTTTCAAATTTTAAATCGTAATTTTGCTTCTGTCATCAAATTTTAAATTGATTTAAATTTTAGCTGCTCGTCACGGTCATCATCGTTTCGGATACGGAATGTGTGGTTTTAGTGCAACAATTCCTAATGATGGTAATGAACGATTGTACATTGGTGCTCCTGGTGCATATTACTGGCAAGGTACAATTTTTGCACAAAGTGTACGCAATCAACTTGATCGGCCAAATACACCTGATGGCCCAGCACATCATGATAACTATAATCTTGGTAAGTTGAAAATATTGATTTAAATTTTAACTTTCATCACTAATCTAACTAATCATTTTGTTGTAAGTGATTTCTAATTTTTTTTTCAATCATTATTTTTGTCAAATTTTAATGTAAATGAAATTAACTTCATTTTTGAAGCAATTGATCAAAATGTTCAAAATAACTAAGAACTAATTAATTGATATACTCATATCTTAATTATAGGTTATTCAATGGCTGCAGGTGATTTTGATGGTGATGGTTTAGAGGATGTGGTTGCTGGAGTACCACGTGGTAACGATCTTGTTGGTGCTGTAAGTTATTCCATTCAAAGTTTTTTATTTATTTGCTGGTTTGAGATTTTTAAAAATAGAGAACAGTGTTTTCTAATCTTTTGATCAATCTGAAAATAACTTACCAACTTATCATTTAAAAATTTCCTGAACTTTGCCAATCTTTTTCATATCCTTTTTTTTATAAAATTTATTAAAATTTAAAATTTTAATTTTCAGGTTTACATTTACAATCATAAACTAATATCACTAAGGAATCTAACTGATAAAAATGGACAAAAAGGACAATTCTTTGGAGCTGCAGTGGCAGTTACTGATTTAAATAATGATGGGTTAGCACGCTTTTTAGATTTATTATGATCAATTTTGAGAACTTAAAATGTATTCTCAACAAAGATGAATGTATTAAAGGAATTTGCTCGAGGAAATTTTAATTATTTGCTGCTAATTTGATTGTTTAATTAAAATTAGGTAAAGAAAAAAAAATAGAATTTTCTCAAAAACACATTTAATTAACATTCTTTGCATTTTTCAGTTATGATGATATCATCGTAGGATCACCATTTTACACCGACTACAAGACAGTAATGGATGTAAAAACTCAGGAACATAAGCCTCGTTATGATATTGGCAAAGTCATGCTTTTCTTCCAGGGATCAAATGTAAGCTCATTTACAAATAAATATTTTTGATAAAAAAATTTTTTTGCACACTTTTTATGCAAAATATTAATTTCTTATTCAACTATTTTCATTTGAAAATAAATTTTTGAAAAAATAATATTTATTCAAATCTTCTCCTATATTTTAGTAAATTTAATTTCAAAGTTAAATAGAATTAAATATTTACAGCATGATTTCTTCAAATGGGAATCATTATTGGGACATACCGAATGGTCACGATTTGGTCATTCAGTTGCAGCTGCTGGTGATTTAAATCAAGATGGTTATAATGGTAATTTTAAAATTAAAATTTAATCAAATTCATTTGAAGCATTTTTGCTTAAGTATATGAAATCTAACTTTTGTCTAACTTTAGCTCATTTTTTTTCGTCCTTCAAACATTTATTTATTTATTTCTTATTTCACTTCTTTTTCTAATTTTTTTTTGTTATTTGTCACTGAATAGATTTTATTGTTTGTTTACATTTTTATGCATTACACTTCTTTCATTTTAATAATAAATTTTCAAGTAAATTACATTTTTTCTATGCAGATTTCATCGTTGGTGCACCATACGATGGTGATAATCATCGAGGTGCCGTATACGTGTATCATGGAGCTAAAAATGGCGTACGCAAAGAACCAACGCAAAAAATTGAAGCACAAAAAATAAGTGCTGATTTAAAAGCATTTGGATTTTCACTTGCTGGTGGCAAGGATATCGATAAAAATCAATATCCAGGTTAGGAAGTCTTGAATTTTTCCGTTATTTTTTTTTTAAATTGAATTTTGAATTATGATAACTTTTTATTTGATCAACAATTTAAAAGAATGTAATGTGCTAAAAAAAATTAAAAGAATGTAATATGCTAAAAATTTATTTAGATATTGCGGTTGGTGCTTATCAAAGTTCACATGCAGTGGTGTTTAAAACAAAACCAGTGATTACAGTGACCGGTTCACTAACTACATCTAAGAATTCAATTAATTTAGAAGATAAAACTTGCTCAACCGAATTTGGAATGATGGCTTGGTGCATATTTTTTTGATATGTTGAATAATCTAAATTAGCAAACTAAACTTTATTAAGAATCTCTCTCTCTCTCTTTTTAAAAACTTTTTGATATAGAAATTTATAAATAATGTATTATTTTTTAACATTTATTTTGTCTACGTATAAGTTTTGATAGTATTTTAAATTTCAAATTAAATTTTTTGAAATATAAGGCATCATCGTTTCATATAGTTGCATTAGATTATTTGCGTAATTTCAGTGAGCAAATGAAGCTTTGTATGAAGTATGAGGGTAAAGGTCAATCGCCACCAGATATTGACCTAAAACTTCTCTTTCAACTTGATTCTAAGAAAATTATCACACCGCGAGCATTTTTTAGACGACGAGATTTGGTCAGTTTTTGTAAATGATAATTCATAAAATGGAAATTATTGGAAAGAAGAGAAAAAGAATTGGTTTTATTTCACCAAATCCATACTGAACAGTTTACATTTCAATAACTTTAATAATGGAATGAATAACGATCATTTGTTACTTTTATTTTTGTTTATTCTTTTGTTAACGTTTTTCATTATGATAAGTAATGTTAAATTCACTAAGTAAATGAATTTATCGGATTTTTTTTTTTTTGGAAAATATTCTAAAAACTTGTGAAGTTTTAATCAACTCAACTGTTTTTGATTCTGTTCCAACTGATCATTGTCCATGCTCAGAATAGTAAACGAAATACGAAAGTTCATAAAAAAGCAGCATCACGTGATCAACCGGATATAATCGAACAAATGGTGCATTTACGGAAAGGACATGAATACTGTGAAACATACTATTTTTATGTTTCTGTAAGTTTTTTTTTTGATTATAAAAATTAATTTGTAAAAATTTGGATTTTAAAATTAAACGCAGTTTGATTATAAACTACATTATGAAAAAGAAGAGTTATCTTAAATTTGATATTGAATTCAAGCACCACAAAAAAATTTGTCAAAATTATCATTCTTTCGAGATGTTTCATAAAAATTACTTGCAGGATACAATACGTGATAAATTAAATCCTATACATATCATAGCGAATTACAGTTATGAAGAGCGCGCATCCGGTATATCAACATCCGGTCATTTGGAACCTGCATTGGATACTACTGTACCATTATCATTTGAAGTTGAAGTAAGATATCAAATTTTTATTAAATCAAGAAATAATTATAATTGAGTTTTTAATGTTTGTTTTTGTTTTTGTTGTTTTGAAAAGAAATTGAATGATTTAAATTTTTTAAATCAAAAACAAAATGCTAGTTTAATGTGTTTTAAATTTATAATACGGTAACTTTTAGCTTCCAATAGATAAAAATTGTGGTCCAGATGAAAAATGCATTCCGGATCTACAAGTACATGCTGTTTCGTAAGCTATCAGATAATTCAATCTTTAAATCACTATAAATTTAATAAAGTTACTAAAAAATGATCATTTAAACTTTTTTCTTTTATCGCTAACAATGATTATAATATTTAGCAAAAGCTACGATCACTCGAAATGTGATAGCTAGGAAGCAATCAATATTTTATTATGGTCTGATTATTTGCTTAATGAATTAAAAAAAATTATGACTAATTTGAAGTTTCCAAATTGGTAAAAATTTCGCCAAATTTTAACTGCTAATGAAATTAAGGAATAAGAAGAAATTCACCATTGGTGCAGCTGATCAATCGTTAATTGTTAATGTAACGGTCGCAAATCATGGAGAGGATTCTCATGAATCGCAATTTTTTATTACAATACCACCAGGCTTCGAATATGGTGGTGTGGAGAATTATGCTACAAAGGTTTGCACAAATATTTGATAAGGATCAGATCATTTGATCTGAATAGGATGATCAAAAAGATAAACGGATCTAACATTTCAACCATTATTACTGTGCCATTCTCGAATCGATAATTCAGCTCACATAATATCAGCTTATTTTTTGCAAGTCTTTGAAAATTTTTTGCGCCTTGTTGATATGAATGATATCG